GAAAATCAATTGAAATCTTTAGAAGTGATTATCATTTCCAACACCAAAGCAATGCCCCTAATCTTGAAGAGCAACAAGGAACCATCTATTTCGAAGCTTAAAAGGTTATACATGTCAGGCTGTACAAGGATTCCCCCCTTCCTTCTTTCTTCCTTCCTTGCTTACTTCCAGGTCATTGCAATTAGTTCCAGTGTTTTTTCTGTAGACTGGAACTAATTTACAACATGCCAGATGGAAAAGTCTGTCCTTGCTCTAAGTTTCAAATGGCTTGATGGGTAGTTTCTCATGGTTGCAAAGGTTGAAGTGCACCAGGTGGAGGGAGAGGCAGAAAAAGTTCCTTTGGAAAAGTTACTTGGCTTAGAAAAGATCTCCTGGAATTATCAGCCAGGGTGGCCAATGAATTTGGTTGCTTTGTGTGTGTGTAAGAGAGAGAGCGAGAGAGTGTTAACCTTTCTAAGCTGTGGCAAGGAAACACCTACCATGTGAAATGTTGTCATGACAACCATACAGAAAAAAAAGGTAGGGCTGAGAAAACTGAATTTATAACTATGCAATTAAATTTGAAAATTTGCTTCCTCCATGATTTTTTTCCTGACCAGAGAATAAGAATAAATCATGTGCTGTCAAGTCAGTTCTGACTTATGTTGACCCTTTCCCGGGTTTTCCAGGGAAAGTACTCAGAGGTGCTTTACCCTTCCCTTCCTCTAGGGGCAGCCTTGGGACTGTGCAGCTGGCCCAAGGCTACCCAGGATGGCTCTTTCTCTCAGGAGGCACAGAGGGGGAATTGAACTCCCAACCTCTGGCTCTGCAACCAGATACCTAAACCACTGAGCTATCCAGCTAGCCTGACCAGAAAAAAAAAACCTCTCTGAATCATGGATGGTATTTGCTTCCTAATTCGAATATATGCCAATATGGCTCAAACTGGCTTCACCTACTATCTGCTGGATGCTGTCCAGTGGGGTGGGATTACAACTCCCATCATCCTCATACAGCGTAGCTCCAATAATACATTTGGTTGACACCCAAATGGGGAGAGAACTGGGCTAAAAAGTAAGAGTCGGGCCCAAGGGATCCCATGTGAAGTATCAAAAAAAAATATCCAGATGGTGATATTGGTCTGTTGACTCTCTTTCAGCCGCCTCTGCTCTGCTGAAGTGTCGTGAGACTCAAATTGGCTGACCCCCAACCTTGAATTGCTCCGAGGAAGAATAGGATAAAAAATAGAAAACTGCAGAATTTTCATTTTTATTTATGGAAGTAATTCAAGGGGCTGACACTGGAGGACAGAGTCATTTTCTATTGTCCATGTGTGAGGGATGACCAGGAGATCTCCCCTCTCTTAGGGTACTTGAATATGCTTATTTTCCTAATTAATTTGCTAAAGAATTGTAGCTTTGACTGCTCTGTTGTTATTATGGTTTCTCTTCTTCCCTGTACGTTTACTGGTCTTTCAATTAGGGAACGTCTCACTTTGATTCTTGCCTTAATTGTCTATATTTTCCTGCTCTCTCTTTTTTTTTCCACATTTAGCATCAGTTATTACTTTGATTGATTCTTTCCAAAAAGGTGGCGCTGAAGGAGAACTTCATGGATAAAACCCTGGACCGCTAGAAAAAGGAACAAGCGGGTCCTCGGTCAAATCAAGCCTGAGCTACTGTATCTCTGGAGGCGAAAAGGATGAAACTGAGGCTGACTTACTTTGGGCACATTGTGAGAAGGTAAGATTCTCTGGGAAAGACAATAATGCTGGGAAAAGTTGAAGGTAGCAGGAAAAAGAAGACGATCGACTACAAGATGGACCAACTCTCTAAAGGAAGAGCCTGCTGTGCAGGGCTGTTGAGGACAGGACGTTTTTGAAGATTGCTCATAAGATCAGTGACAATTAGTTAGGTGTGGATGGTTTCAGCCCTATCTCCAGCCTTCTTTATTAGGTGAGACCTTCTGTTTGGAATCGAACAGCCGTAGACAGTCCTTCCCACCCGCCCTCTATCCCTGATGGAGAACATGTGAGGCCAGGAAAAAGGAAGGGTGCTGTCTTTCCCCCCTTCTTGTCCTCCGTGCAGAGTGCGTGTTAACTTACATAATGGGCTATGAAAAAGCCAAATCATCAGAAAATATGGGTTCAGTCCAAAGGCTAGGAGAATCTTCGGATGAAACCTTGATTCAAGATTTGAGTAGGAGCCACTGTGTCTCTGGATGATGATCAGGCTCTTACTCTTTTCCTTTAGGTCAGGGTTTTTTTGTTTTTTTAAGAGCAGAGAACAGTTCGTTATCATCCCACCAAGCACCAGGTTTTTGATGCTGTGAGTAGCAAGTGGTGTGCTTTTCAGAGAACGCCTGCGTACGTACACATCCGCAAGGATTGAGCATGACTTTGCTAACAGAGAGGACCAAAAGGTCAAGACGAAGTCTGTTGGCCCGCTAACATACTTTCCCGGGGGTTTAAAAGGGCTTGGGCGGGTGCTTGAAATTGGTTGCAGATGGCCCCGATGCGCCTTTGGCCTTTCTTGGAGTGGCCAGGCCAGGCTTGGAGGCTTCTCGAAAGAAGACATGCGGAAGATACAAGGGAAATCCGTCCACCTCCTTCTGCATTCAGCAGAGCTTAGGGACTCTTCAGTTCAAATGTTGGCTCTGCTGTGGACTCAGCGGGGTTTGGAAAAGTTATTTTTGGGACGCCCAAACTCTCCAGGCTGCATATGGCCACGCTAGCTAGGAGGGGTTATGGTGTTCTGTTTTTCTCTTAGCTACAGAAAGGACTGCAGGTAAACTAAAAGGGCACAAGGGAACCTGAGGGTGGTGGCAGATGTTATCAGAGTCCGTGTTACATATAAAGTCCTGGGTCTTTGACCCTGTGCGCCCAGGACGACTCCACCAAAGACTGAGAGTTCGATTCCCCCTCTGGGCCTTCTTGACAGGGGCTGGATTCAGTGATCCAGCTCTGACGGTCAATGATGATGATGATGATGATTAGAGATCTCTAACTCGACCCACCTTTAGCTGCACTTCCACCTGTTACTGGAGTGGAGGTCTTGGTTTGTTTTAACCAAAATAATACAAATCTCTCTCTCTAAAAAAGAA